GTCACCAGCTTGAAAATATCTCGCCGTCAACGGCTGCTCATCCGTGAAGATCAGGGGTAGAATAGCTCTTCAGCAACCCATGCTTGCCGTGAAAGGCGACTATGCTTGTCGTAAGAGGCGACTAACAGGATCGGGTGGTCAGGCTTGCTGACTTGGTTGATGCATGTCATCGTATCCCTATTTCGTGGATCGATGCTCATGATGTCAATCACTGGATGGTCTGGTCCAAACTATTTACAGACCGCCGTCATATAGCTGTAATATTGCCGGTGTGGAGTAAAACACTCCCTCATTTGCTTAAGCTCGTACATGGTCGCCAAAGACTTCACAGCTTAATGTGCAGAATTGCATCCCTTAGTCGTGCCAGGATTCGCTGACCGTTGGTTCGAATCCCACAATAGCCCTAATGATGATCAAGCGTTTGTTGCTCATCACCGGACGAAGGGCAGGACGGCTCCTTGCAACGTGGCGGAGAGTAAATGTAGAAATTAATGCATATCATTGTTTTCAGGACTACTTTCACGTTTCATGTTGGCCGCGCTCAGACACATATCGAGACCTAAGGATATACATCACACACGAAAAATACTTTAGGTGGAATACATTTATTACAGTCAGCAATACTTCACATCAGGTTCAATGGCATTATATTACAAAATAGAGTGTTGAGAGTTCTCCTTTGTTTTACACAGACAAGCGAGTGAGGCGAATACAGACACTGTTCCTACAGAAACCAAATATGAACATTACATTATTCCACACTAAAATAGAATTCTGTCGTAGCATCGAAATGTCCTTTTTTTCACATGTTCAGGTGTCCCATTTAAAAGTCCGTGATGAATGTCCGAGTAAGGGACCGCAAGTAGGAGCAATCACACTAAGGCTGAAATCATCAACATGACTAACTACTTGGTGAAAACTGTCATGTATTACAACACAAGAAGTCAAGAACATTGAAAGGAATATATATATATATAAAAATGCATGCTTTTGTTTGGGCGACCCGTTCCAGTATTAAGGCTGACATCTACCCCTACCAAAATACAATCCAAAAGTAATCATAAACGAACACATTATGTGAAGGAGCGGTCGGGTAGCCTAGTGGTTAAAGCGTTCGCTCGTCACGCCGAAGACCTGGGTTCGATTCCCCACATGGGTACAATGTGTGAAGCCCTTTCAGGTGTCCCCCGTCGTGATATTGCTGGAATATTGCTAAAAGCGGCGTAAAACCATACTGGCTCACATGATGTGACACCACAGTAGGTTCCCAGTGCCCATACATATCGTCAAATGACGATCGGGTGGTCACATTGTGAAACTCCTATTACGTTCTGATGCTCATGTTGTCCACCACTGGTCTTTCTAGTTCAGACTCGATGTTGACCTTGTGCTTTAAAAAATCCTCTAATAGCTTTCTGGCATGTCTAAGGGGTGCGCCTAAGGGGTGCCCCCCCCCCCCCCAACACACACACACACACACACACAAAGCTCTATCAAGCACATCATGGGTATATATCAAACATACAGGCAGTTTGTACAAAATCATAAGCCTTTCCAGTCCTGTAAGGGGTTTATTTGTTTGTGGGTGGATCTTCAACTGCAGCGTTGTCATTATCGCAATATGAAACAGAACCATCTTCAGTGCGTGGTGGGGATGGGTGATATGCGCCGTACACAGCAACATCACTTTTCCAAGATACAATAACAGAGAGATTCGGCTTACCAAGGTAATTCAGAGCCTTGTGATATAACTAACATGGTATTTCGACTTATCAAGGCAATAACAGCAACGGAATATTCGACATAACAGAGCTATTCGATTTGTCAAGGTAAACCCTTCGACCTACCGAGGGCAATCTGAATAACAGAAGAGAATTTATTTCGAATAGTCTGGCCATGAGGCCAATAGTGCAGATGACTGGATAATATTAGTTCCATTGTGACAGAGCGCTTCAATTTACATTAGTTTTACAAATTCGTAGTTTAAACATTTTTTCAAGATAAAGGGTTAGCCGAAATAAAATGCTGTCGTCACTTTTTGTGAGTAACGACGCAAGCTTGTGTATGGTAGGATATTCATTATAATGCAAAGGCAAATACCTTGACCTTAAGTTAGTATACGCTGGACATATAAATAGTGCATGGTATTCATCATCTAAGTCTTCTTTACAGCCATTGTATAGACTGTCAGCAAAGTAATGGTCACTAGACATTCTATTTTTATGTTTTTTAAAATCATTTTAACAACATCTAAATTTGGTTAAAGCTCTTCTTAAATTTACAGACCTAATCGATGATAGATATTTATCAGGTTGTAGTAAGGATTTGTAGGTGCGATATAATTATTAGCCTTGGTGAATTAGATATACAGTCTGACCATTCCAGCATAAACAGGTCTCTTGTTCTGTCCTTAAATGTATAAATAAAAACATCACAGTCTCCGACACCTTGCATCAGCCATACATTACCAAAGCCATAACTAAACAATCTATATCTTACAAATGAAACCCAATGTTTATAACCTAATTCCTCATATTTACATAGCATGAAATGGCAATGCTTTGGATATTTACCCAGAGGCATTCTTAATGGTTTAATCCAGGACTTAACTATTCTCACAACACCATGTTCATACATTCTCGTTCTTACAAGTTCACCTAATACAGCAGCATTTGAAGACTTGTATCCTATTTTCAAAGTATATTTACAATATTTAGTATGCATAATTTCAATGCTTTTTCTTACTTCTGTACATCATATTTCCGCACCATATAGCAAAATGGGTAAAATTTTAAAAGCAAATATTTTAAAATATGTATCAACATTTACGTCTGGCTATTTAAACATAATTCTTTTAATATGTACTAGAGATTTGTTGCCTGCTTAGCTAAAGTGTCACATGCCTAGGTAAATATATTTCTAGACGAAATTTCAAACACCAAGATATTTATAGTGACACCAATTCAATCTGTTCACCATCAATAAACCATTTTTCATGTTGTGATAGAGGTCCTCCATTTTAAATACCATACCTCCCCATTTATAGAAGTATCCTGCTTAACTAGTTATTTTGTTTTGCAGAATTATAATAGAACAACTGAATAACAGATGAAGATAACAGGATATTTCGGCTTATCGAGATAAATCAGAACAATGAGGTAATCGACATAACAGGATAATTCGACGTACGTGTATGATAGCAAAGCATAACAATAAGCGATAGGCTGGAATCTTTAAATTTCAGAAAACAACCCTCACCTAGAAATTAACAAGTTGAACAAAACAAATACATGGATACCAAATCATTTTTCTGCAAGTGGGTAAGCCTGCATGTGTTTTAACGCTGCTGTTTGGGTAAGGCTGTTGAAATGCGCTGTTTGTTTGGCGTGGGCTATCTGTCCCACTACAAATACGTACACACGGAAATGCTTGCCTTCCCGATGCAACAAATATCTGTATTCTCACCGCAAAAATGTCGTAAACATTCGAGGTGAAATAAAATATTCTGCATCGACCTGGGCTCTGTTGAGTTTTTTTGTGATTTTCAACTCAGCAATGACTTCTTTTTTTATTTTTTAACTCGGAGTGAGTGAGTAAATGATATATTACGTATCAGTCAGTGATATTTCACATATGACGTTTGACTGTAAATAATGGAGTATCGGTCAGGAAAAGTAGTGGTTGGTAGCATGACCAACTCCCCACGTCATTGGGGTACGATGACACATTTGGTGACGCATTGTAACCGCTCCATCCTCCTATTATGACGAGAGACTCGGGGGCACGGGTGGCCCAGACGTCTAAGGCGCCGCGATTCGCTGTGCAGAGTTGCGTCCCTTGGGCATGCCAGAAACCTATGATTGTGGGTTCGAATCCCGGTTCGCCCCGTTTATGTTTCTAGGTTTGTCAGCACCATACCTGTGCTCGTGGGTTTCACCGAAGTGGTAAACGTCTGAGACCTGCATAACTTCGGGCTTTCCTCCCACATTAAGCTGACTTGCCGCGATATAACTGGAATACTGTTCAAAACGGCGTTAAACCCAACTCACTTACTCACGAGAGACTCAGAGGCCTTATCTTCCTCATAATCCTTAGGGGCAGCTGATAAAGGTCCGCTTGTGTTATTAATGTTAGTAATGAGTGTTTGATATAAAATAAAAAAGTTTATAAATCTCTTCTAGAAAATATGTTATAATCTCTGAAGTAACTTTACAAAAGTATATTCAACCAACGTTCCTTTACATAATTTTATCCAAGGGTCCGAATTTCTATTTGGTTCATAAATCAAAACAAGTAATAGAAATCTGGTATTCAAGCAACAAATTTAATTAAACGAAATTATTATTGAACAATATTTATTTTTGAGACAACGAAAAATGTTGCATGTGTTTAGACTGGGATATTTTAACATTAAAACAATATCTAAATCCGTAATCAATTAAAACAATGTTGAACGTCGTCGCCAGCAGCCTCATTAACCTCAGTTGACCCCGAGGAATTAGTCCGAACTCAGCATTATAGCGGAACCTGTGTGGAACTCTGTTTATTCACGCTGGGATTCAAATCAAATTTAATTGTTTTTCGTGTTACATTCCTTAACGGAAATTTGTTTGCGACCAATAACGTTGTATCACCCCAAACTCGTCCGTACGAACCCCGCATGCCGTTGTTTGTCTCTGTCGCGTTAGATATTGACAAGGGCTAGTCTATTTCACGGTGATATTAGCATGGGCGAGTCTATTACGTACAACAGGGATCGAGGTATCGCTAACTCATTTAAATCATCAATTACAAACTACAGTCGTCAATATAACTTTCAGAAACGTGTATAATAAACATAAACATAATAAACATATATACAAAGGATATGAATAAAATTATACTAATTCAAAATCAGGTCGCAAGAAATTGAAATCTGAACCTGACCCCCCTATTTATGAAAAACACTCGTCCAACTCCTGAGCGGTGTGTTATCCGTTCCAATCTCTCCTAAACTTGTAACCGTTCTGCTAATGCCCAAATCGTGAGCCGATTAGCTTACTAATCCAGCACTTGGCCAGAGAGTGAGATTTGGGGAGAAATGCTCACAGACTTTGGGACCATGTCCTCCCCAGCTTCAAGTTCGAAAATTTTAAGAAAGATTTCGATAGTGGCCAAACAACGACCCTTTCGAATTGTCATTTTAGGACAAAACGGCGTGGGAAAATCAGGTAAGATATAAGCCTACTTTGAAGTTCATGTCGTTGGACGTTTTGTTCCGTCAAACCACTCAGTATTGTCTCAGGGTCATGTATATCGTGTCCTTGTTAAGGTCACGAAGTTGTTACTCGCATAAAACTGCCTGAGTAAATGTCAATTTAAGTGAAACATTATAAGATAGAAATGAATTTTGAAATATTTAATAATAACTACAACTTGAAAAAAGTATATCACAGGAGGCGCGAGACATAAAGTACAAATATTTCGTTTGTTTACATAAATTGAACGTTTTTTTCTTATTGTGTCGTTCTTTCGATATCTGTAAACCATGAAATATTTGTATTTTACATAACTGCAATTTGTTTCCTTTATTCAATCACTGAATCTGAAATCCATCATCATTCAAAATCTCCTACACCAAACCATTATTTTTAAAAATAAAAATAAAAATTAAAGACAGTGACAATTTATTTACAAAACTAAATTAACAATAATGACTTCATGTCCAAATGGGACTATATGGGACAATATGATGTACAAACCGAAAAATGGTGTTAAAGTTCACTCCAACCTGTAAGCCCTGCCAAGTCCCGGACAATATTCCTCAAATTACAAACAAACCTATTGAAGAAGTCTTATGGCTCATTAGCACGCCACCCGGCACCTACCTGCTCAGTGAGTATAAAAGCACGGTACCAAGTTACAGGACATTAAAGCCAGTAGTAGGATCGCATTCTCTCATATACCAGTGAGGAAAAGGTTGACTGTGATTTTCAAGAGATTACATGCACGAATATGTAATAGAGTCACAGTACTATGCAATGTTACACTCGGATTATGTACAACAGTGCCGCTCAAAGTTAAGTTCCTCTCATTGTGGTAAATTAAATGCTTATGGGTTGTTACGATGACTGTGTAACTATGGTTTGTGATGGATACTAAACATTAGGCAGTTGTTTTAGCTGTTTTGATTCCAGTCAGACCTAACGCACACGTCTCACGGTTGCTTCCAGTTTGAATAAATGTATGACTATACTACCGGGCAAAGGAAAGTGTACACTCGAACTGATGATGACAATAGCCGCTTAACTCTGCTCATTACTGTGTACTGTGAAACTGACACCCTCGTGTTCCTTGAGACATCATGACACTGGGTGTGAGATACTCATTGATATGATGCATGTAACATCGCCTGTGTGCCCCCCATCAAATACATCACCATCGAATAACCATTTCTTGTTTATTATATTTTTGCCGACAACAAACATGGGTATGCTTTCTTTTGCCTTGCAGTTTATATGTTTTACTGGATGAGTTTCAGGTCTGTTTTCAATAAATCATTTCATATAACAAATGAGTATTTTGTACATTTTTTTTCATTTATTGGATCAATTCAAAACGTCATGTGAAGTATCTGATAAATATTTAGACGTTAGCGATAGCAACTTCCATATTGTTCCAATGCCCCATGACGAACGAGTCCAGATGAGAATAGACTTCATCAACCTTATCGTAACAGGCGACTTAAGGGGTCGGGTGATGAGGCTCGGTCACTTGGTTCATCACATGTCGTCGTACCCAGCCAGCTCGAGACGTTGATCATAATAACAATCACTGGATTGTCTGGTCCAGACTCGATTATCTTCAGAATGCGGTCATATAGCTGGAATATTGCTGAGTGCGGCGTTAAACAAACAAACAAACAAAATATTTTTCACAACGACGTTGACGATTCCGGTTATTTCTTGCCCCTCCACCGGAAGTGATTCTGATCACGTACATATTAGCGTCTGTAATATTAACAGTGACGATGTTATAACCTATGGGAGGAGGTTTGGGGGCACATTTTGTAAATTAAATAAAAAGAAATATGGCCAAAATATATAGTTTGTTGGCAGCGGTGAAAACATGAATACTTTGTTTTGTGAAAAACACCCAAACATAATATTTTTTGTTTTAATCGTGAAAATGAATAAATTGTTTTATGGTGCTCCGTAAATGAGTAGTTTGTTGGATACAATCGGGAAAATAGAGATTATTCTCCACCCTTCCCCCCTACAAGTCAAATGGATGTTCCCTAATTCAGTTATATTACGGCGTGTTTGTGTCTCTGTGTGTGTGGCTGCTTGTACTAGTCCAGACTAATGCCGATTTTATAGTGCTAGCCCACTGAGATACCATGCCCCATTTTAACATGAATACCCGACTCAGACACAGTATACTGACTCCGAGCCGACCAGTCCTTGTTTTAGCCCCTTCATGCCGAGCGTCAGGCAGGGTAACAACAAGTACCACAACACTCGAAAAATACTTCTAAATGGTTTTATTTTTCTAAAATATACATAAAACTATTAGTAGGATTAAAAATCGCACAATACACAGCTTTTGATGGGTATATCGAACATATTATTTTAAAGAAATCAATAACTTTTACATCATTTCAAACATGTTTGGGGTCATATGTTTGCGCTTCTTAGCCCAGCCTTCATTGAACCAATGTATGTGTACACAAATTATTATTACAAACTGTTGCAGGAATGTGTGATGGTTAAATAGACATAATCAAATTTAACAACAGCTCTTTCAAGTTCAATTACATAAAAAACAAACTCCTGTTTACATGCCTCTCTTTATTTTGCCTTCGATTCCAGCTTTGACAGTTCGTTTCATGACGAGGCGATTTATCGGTGAATACGACCCCTATTTGGGTAAGTAGTAATCTCAGCGTAGGCATGAGTTAGCTTCAGTTAAACATCAATATAACATATCCCAGCCTATATCTTCACTCCTTAGAGGAGCCACTTGTACCCCAGTCTAAGGCGCCGCAATTCAAGGACACGCCAGAAACATATCATTGTGGGTTCGAACCCCGGTTCGCCCCGATTATGTTTCAAGGTTTGTCAGCATCATACCCGTGCTCGTGGGTTTCACCAAAGGGGTCAACGTCTGAGACCTGCATCACTTCTGGCTTTCCTCCCACAGTGAGATGACACGCCGCGATATAACTGGAATACTGTTAAAAGGCGGCGTTAAACCCAACTCACTCACTCACTTACACTTTGATGCGAAAATATATTGACGCATGGACAGTTTATGTTGATATATACACAATGAAATAAATGTAGCTTACGAAATAGCTCGGTTTCTACTGGATAGTTGTGAGTCGCCCGTTATCATTTTGGAATGATTTTGTTTAAAAACTGCCAGGCAAAATAAAGTATACACTTGAAACTTGGATTTGACCACACAGTTACAAACAATATCAGTCGCCGAAACTCTGCAAACCTAAGGTCCAAAAACACCACTATGATACCCGTATCATATCAACATCATTAAATAACAGTTTCTTGTGTGTTTCATTTTTAATAAATAATATCAACTCCTTTGAATTATGAAACGTTATACCAAGTAACACCTGGACTTGTCAGGATGTCTTGACATTCAGTGAGTCAGTGAGTGAGTGAGTTTGGTTTTACGCCGCTTTTAGCAATATTCCAGCAATATCACGGCGGGGGACACCAGAAATGGGCTTCACACATTGTACCCATGTCGTGATTCGAACCCGGGTCTTCGGCGTGACGAGCGAACGCTTTAACCACTACCGCCCCCTTGAGTAACACCTGGGAATGTCATGATGTAATGGTATTCAGTGTGACACATGGTATTGTCTTGATGTAATGGTATTAAGATTAACATCTAGGAATGTCTTGATGTGATGGTATTCAGAATAACCTTTAGGATTGTCATGATACCAGGTATTCCGAATGACACCTTGTATTCTCAAGATACCATGGTATTCAGAATAACACCTGGGATTGTCTTGATGTAATGGTATTCAGTGTCAGACCTGGGAGTATCTTGCTGTGATGGTATTCAGAGTAACACCTGGGATTGTCACGATGTAATGGTATTCAGTGTCAGACCTGGGATTGTCATGCTGTGATGGTATTCAGAATAACACCGGGGATTGTCTTGATGTAATGGTATTCAGTGTCAGACCTGGAATTGTCTTGATGTACTGGTATTCAGTGACTGACCTGGGAGTATCTTGCTGTGATGGTATTCAGAGTAACATCTGGGATTGTCATGATGTAATGGTATTACGAATGACACCTATGATTCTCATGATACCATGGTATTCAGAATAACACCCGGGATTGTCATGATGTAACGGTATTTAGAATTTCACCTGGGATTGTCTTGATGTAATGGTATTCAGTGTCAGACCTGGGAGTATCTTGCTGTGATGGTATTCAGAGTAACATCTGGGATTGTCATGACGTAATGGTATTCCGAATGACACCTAGGATTGTCATGATACCATGGTATTCAGAATAACACCTGGGATTGTCACGATGTAATGGTATTCAGTGTCAGCCCTGGGAGTATCTTGCTGTGATGGTATTCAGAATAACATCTGGGATTGTCATGACGTAATGGTATTCCGAGTTACACATAGGATTGTCATGATACCATGGTATTCCGAGTAACACCTAGTATTGACATGATGTAATGGTAAACAACGTCAGACCTGGGATCGTCATGATACCGTGGTATTCCCAGTAACACCTGGGATTGTCATGATACCATAGTATTCAGAATAACACCAAGGATTGTCAAGAAGTCATGGTATTCCGAGTTACACCTAGGATTGTCATGATACCATGGTATTCCGAGTAACACATATAATTGTCGTGATGTAATTGTATTCAGAATAACACCTAAGCATGTTCTGTCTTCCAGAGAAGGTCTACAGTTGCACCAGATATGTGGAGGGAGAGAGCATGAACTTTGAAATTCTGGACACTGCCGCTCAGGTATATGAAGTCAATTGTCGACAGAACATACCGTATTTCCTCTAGTAACAGCCACCCCCTGTAAAAAGCAGGGGAAGGTGTCAGGTTTTGAAATAGCCAGGTCAGCTACAGCTAATTTATCCTCCCCAAAACATGTGCTGATTTCTTCCCACTACAACTGAATACCCAAACGTTGGGACACAGACGGGAAAGGAATAAGTATTATGCCTATATTCAGGGCCGGTCTCTAATATCGGCTAGGGTCAAGTTGAACAAAGCCACCTAAGTGCTACGACTATCTTAAGTCTTTGTTAGAGTATGAGAGTTACGATCAGCGTAGCGCTAAGGTCGCTTTGTGCAACTGGACCCAAGTCTAAACGTAAACTGAAGTTGACCGTCCTCTTAATAGAGGAGATACGGTATGTCCCAAATATAGTCTGGAAGGTAATTTAAGGTACCGACATTTACTACAATATCTAAAAAACTATCGGACCTACTCCAGTCAAAGTTGGTATGAGATTATTAAACAGTCACACATAACTGGATATTACATTTAAAGACAGCCGGTGCATGAATAAAAAATCTGTCTATTTAGCTATCACTATATTTCATCAACAACCTGACCTGTTCGTCACGGGGCCATATGACACAGTTGAACCAATCAACTCAACTCGAAAGGGTGCACGGGAATCACGCACGTTGAGACGCCCAACGCTAACACCGTATTCGTGCTTGCATGATTCCCGTGCACCCTTTCGAGTTGAGTTGATTGGTTCAACTGTGTCATATGGCCCTGTGACACAGGGGTAGCATTATGCAGATGGTAGCATTATGCAGATGGCTGTTTCAATGAATGCTCGTTCCACCCGTGACGAACAGGTCTGGTTGTTGATGAAATATAGTGATAGCTAAATAGACAGATTTTTTATTCATGCACCGATTTCTTTAAATGTAATATCCAGTTATGTATGACTGTTTAATAATCTCATACTAACTTTGACTATATACCACAGCGTTTCGGTTAAACCATTATTCATTTCAGACAACATATTGTCGTCATAATGACGAAACTGAGGTGAAAACGTTTAATAAGGACAGTTTACCATGAATAGAAAGTCCAGTAATCATATTACGTAACATATATTTTTGCGTTTAAGTCTCTCTTTCTTGTGAAACACGTTTTGAGATAAACAAGTTACTCGATAGGATTAACCGTACAACCTCCTCATAGTACATACACATACTACTCAAAAGAGTTGAGAACACCCGATTTGTTCATACTACTAGGGATAATCTGTCATGCCATGAGTGTTCTTTAACTTCATTGAGTAGTATATATATTCTTCCATTCCTGTGTCACGCACTAACGACACGACACTTAAGTGTTCAATTCAGGTTAGCATGTCAAGCGAGCTGTTTGCTCCACACATCCTGTGGCAAATTCAAAGAACTTAGTAGTTGTTGACAACAGTTCAAACATCGGCCTCTCGATCGCATAAATATTGCCCCAACCAATGAAATAACAACATGATAAGCAACACGCGCTGAGCACGTGTATGATTGACCGCGCAAACGCCATGAAATAACCTTGAATGTAAAATGGACACACGTCCTAACCCGGGACGGCGACATTTCTCAAGCATGTGACAAGTTGACATGCACAACATCTTTTTTTTCAAAGTTTAGAAATTGACAGGTGGGAGATCCATAACAAACATGAGCGGCGTCAGAGAGATAAAAAGCTCCGTACAGCGTGTTAAGGGAGTGAGAAGTTGTAATCGTGTCCTAGGGGTGATCAAACCCTCGAGGGATTTGTGAAAGCAAGTTTGTGTTTAACCAGGGAAGCAGAACGTCATCAAAGCCTTATATAGTAGATTAGCACACCTGTCTGGGGATTATTCGGCCGCGAAGACCGTCTCACTTGACAAAAACAACATTTTCTTACAGGTTGGGTTCACTTCACCATAGTTTGGCGGCCTGTTACTATGTTAGCTTGTTGTGTGAAGAGGCCGGTTCAGATTAGCGTGGTTTATATATGGAAGGGATTGAGAATGCTCTATAAGTAGCATGTCCAATCTATTACTTAAGCTAGTTGATTAATTTCAAACATTTCTGTCTCTTGATTATAATTTAATTACTATTATACCGCCTCGTCTACTACTGCTACTCCCAATGCTACTCCTACTGCTACTGCTTCTCCTACTGCCACTGCTACTGTTACTGCTAGTGCTACTGTTACCAGTCCTACATCCATGGGGACGCTGTTTTCCCCAATAGGGTATAGTAACAGGATCCGTTGAAAGTGCGTTTGCATCCTAGATTCGTCTCAGTTAATATCCGTGGTCTTTTACCCATATTTCTATTCCTCTAAAACGTGTGCAGGTTCCCTTTAATTCCCACAAAAGCCCCCCCCCCCCCCCCCTCCACAAACACACACACACATCGCTATTCACGTGAACTCCTGATCAAAGAGGTATAAAACCCAACTCTTATGACAATAACCACTACGGATTAATCACTATCAGTATCGACACCTCTTGACACCAGTTGATTGGTCCTCAGTACCCAATGATCGTCTACGGAGCCGACGACAATGATTCTCTTGTGGTTACAATGATTAATCTGTCAGTGTAAGTCATACCACATGACGTGATTTGTTTCTCCTGCTATGGAGAAAGGTGATAGTGATCCAACCTCGACATGCCTCAGGCTGCAGTGATACAGCTTAAAAAATTGCGTCGGAAAACAAACATTCACATCACTCTCTCAACGACGAGCCAAACAATTCGCTTCATAAAATGCATTTTCTTTCAACACTTGGTGAATGGATACAACAAATATTGAAAAATAAATAAAGTTTAAAGCACTTTTTTATTACTGCTGCGCTGTACTAACGAAAATAATAAATCACGAGTTCTTTCAAATGTCCAACCCAGACAATGATCCACGTTCAAACGCTCATAAATCTTCCCTCAAAACCTGATATGAAGCTATAACTGATACTATTTATAGCTTCATCGGTACTCCCTACAGTGTGTGTTTCGTTATGTAAACATAAAAGTATATGTTTTACATTCTTTATAGACTTGCCAAATGAAAAAGAGGGAATTTGATATATTTTAGTACAAACAAAATTAAAGAGTGTGATATTATTTTTTAATTCGTGCAAAGGATTTGAAATACATACAACTAATACCAAATGGCCACTTTGCTGTACGACTTCAATAGCGTTTTCTTTACTTCACAGGACGAGAACAGTCGCACGGAGGACAACATCCGCTGGGCGGACGCATACATTCTGCTGTATTCTATCGCAGATAGATGCAGCTTCAACGAGTGCTCACGTCTCCGTTTTCTCATCAACTCGTACGCGAAACGCCATCACCGGAAGTCAACAAGCCTGCCATTCCCGGAAGTCACGTGTTCAAGCGCGCCTGTGATATTAATAGGCAACCAAGCAGATCGCTGCCACGATAGAATGATCTCAACGGAAGAAGGGAGGGCAAGAGCTGCTGAGCTCGGATGTGCGAGATTTTACGAGATTTCCGTGCGAGAGAGTGTTGACTGTGTTCAAAAGATTTTTGAGGACTTATACACACATCAAAGGAAGACAAAGAAATTTCGATCGTTGTTTTCGCAAAGTACATCCAACATATCGCGTTCTTCTTCCCTCTCCTCTGATGACGACATCAACGAAAATGGCTCCTCCAAAGACACATTTTCGAAGAGACGTGGTGCCTTACAAACAATAAGTTGAATTGTAACATGAAGGTAACATTTACAAACGAGTTTGTAAAACATACCCATTGTATCCGAATAGCGTGTACATAAATGGTTAAGTTTGTACATGCATCATTCGTCAAGGTGTTTAAGTTGAAAGCACATTTCCTTAACAAGTATGAACAATTCACTCGGTTGAAATAAGCTACTACCATAACTAAGCGGGCAACTGTGCATCTGAGTGAGTTGTGCTTTACGCCGTTTTAACAGTATTCCAGTTATATCACGGGGTGTCGGCTTCATGTGAACGGAAAACCCTTAAGTGATGCAGGTCTCCGACGTTTACCACTTTGGTGAAACCGAATCATAGGTTTCTAGCGTGCCGAAGGGACGCAACTCTGCACAGCGAATTGCGGCGCCTTAGACGACTGGGAAACCCGTGCCCCCTGTCATAACGGCTTACGGTTTTACTTTGTTATAGACTATTTGGCTTTAAAGAAATGGAATTTTCCTATTATTAACTCAACACACCACATGTGAAGGTAGTCTCTATTGTACTAGTCTGTGTGTTGAGGTAAACACGATCGCTAATATTGACACTTCATTTTCATTCAAACAGCGTAAAGGTAACGAAGCATAACAAGATATTAGATTTTGTCCATTACGTGTCAGATAATGTGAATTTGAAAAGTCGTTAAAAAGGGTTTCATTTACTTTTAAAAGCATGCAAGGTTCTTCAAGGAAACGTCTTTTGAGTTCTTGTTCACAACAGGATCATGCAGCATACCAACAGCTTCCGCCTGTGTATATCATCGATGAAAGTGCATGAAAATATCTTTTTTTCGTGTAAGCTTGTTTTTAACATTAAGGGTAGTAACGTTGGATTTATCCGATAGAACAATCATATATTATGGGCTCGGGTGAAACACAAACACATTGGTTGAGACCTGACCAAATACTTTCATTGTACTATTACGTGTTAATTGTAACATGAGGTGAGGTGAAAGGAAGTTTAAAATCGTGTTCAAGATTATTGCACTTATATAGCGACGTACACCACGTGTGTATGTGTGTCTGCGTGTCAGCTTGTATGAGTTCGGACTTTTGCCGGTTTAATAGTGCTTGAGGGATATCATGCGGCAGTTTAGCAGGAATACCCTGCTCAGTCAGTCCTTGTTTTATCCTTTAATGTCGAGGTCCAGAAAGGGTAACAAGAAGTACATTCCTTTTTCGTCTTTCGGCGGTCAGAGGATCGACCCGTTCTTCGGGCAAGACACTCTTTCCACCAGACAGTCGTAACAGGTGTCTACGGGTATCGTCGTGTGAGGTCGGTTTCCATCTCTGAGTTATACATTTAAACATTTAGAATTGTGTTCATCATACTAACATAACCACCCATAACACTAACCAGCACTAACCACCTAAGTTGTTTCGTCTATAAAGCTATATGTACCCATGCTGCATGGTATCTAACGCCCTCGATTATCCAGGGTGTATAGCATGGCTAATTAGAATAAATGCCCGGGGCGTTATCGTTACTATAGATACTAAAGATTTGGCGAGGAAGTGAGTGAGTAAATATGATTTTACGCCGCTTTTAGCAATATTTCAGCAATATCACGGCGGGGGACAACAGAAATTGTACCCATGTCGGGAATCGAACCTGGATCTTCGGCGCGACGAGCGAACGCTTTAACCACTAGGCTACCCGACCGTCCCGGTGAGGAAGTGACGTCCCTATCTCTCTAATTAGTAACCCCCGACAGATTTCCTCTCCCTCGCGAGTGCAATTTGATTGGACGGTTAGTTTTTGGGTCGCGTATTTCGAACTTGACCCAACACGAAGCTATGTTGGTGAACAGGTCCATAGAATCGGAATATATTAGATACAATACCCTGGATTGGCTAGGATGGTTATCTAACGGTGATGGGCAGACTTGCCCCCATCCTGTAAAGTTACTGCAAGGGACTTTTTGACATGTGAATAAACAGTAAATGGAACACATGTGTAAACAAAAGTGTCCGAAAGTTTTAAAACCTTTTTCTAATTCTTTCTACAGTCGCTTTTCATCCATTTCTTACAAATAATTTCTGAAAACATTTGTAAATAAAACTGTCTGCATTTTGAAATTTGTTGATGACTTATTTTGTCATATGTGAACAAGACTGCTTAAAATGGGTCGGGGGCCTAGGTTATAAAGGTGTTTATCACACACTCCTCTCTGCATTCAGAACCATATACAAACTCCGGACCTCGCTGGTTTGGACCAGAGACCAGATACTGACAGTGCGAGAAAACGTACCTTCGTGATAATAGCTTTTGGACCACTGTATAAATAATGACGTTTGCACCAGAAATAGTATTGTGCGAGTGTACGGAGATTCATTTCGTTGTTGGGGTTGCTTTCCGCCCAAACGCAATCCCCAAAACACAAGACCTACACAAATGTACGGTTGGTTGGCTGGTTTGTTGTTTAACGCCGCACTCAGCAATATTCCACCTATATGACGGCGGTCTGTAAATATTGGAGTCTGGACCAGACAATCCAGTGTTTAATATCATGAGCATCGATCCGCGCAATTGGGCACAAATGTACGGTGTCTCTAGCAACCAAATAACAAGTCGATGTCATCACACAAAATAATCAACAGCAATGCTAGAACACATCGTTACATTATCAACACTCCGTGAGCAAATAGTACACCCCTTAAAGGCAAACTATCATTGAGCACATTTATGATAATTCGATGTACACGAGAGAACCTATACTGTACCACCTCCTTTATTATGCAGACATACTGGTATATGTATATTCTGATACTCATGAGAGTGAGTATGGTTTTAAACCGCTTTTAACAATATTCAAGCAATATCACGGCGGGGCACACCGGAAAATGGGTTTCACACATTGTACCCATGTCGGGAATCGAACCCGGGCCTTCGGTGTGAAAATGGGCTTCACACATTGTACCCATGTGAGGCTACCCCACCGCCCCTGATACTGGTGGAGTGACACTGATATACTCGTATATACCATACCGATACACATAGAACTGCCATTCAAAGAAAACAGTATCTATGCCGCACACTCACTGTAAACATCAATGTCATGTTCATGTACTGTTCATGCTTTCAGTACCGGAACTAACCTTTTCAATCATGTGTATTAACTATAAACTACTATTAATATAACATTATTATATCAAAAGTCTAAATGCAAATATATAATATTTTAACCAGAGCACAACTTGTTTGTGCTGGTTCGACTCCCGTATACATATCCCTTCTCTGTGGGTTTAGATATCCCTTCTTTCACCACTGTTACTAGATTTTATCTGGCTCTCGAGTTCTCTTATATGAAAGGGGCGGTTGGGTAGCCTAGTGGTTAAAGCGTTCGCTCGTCACGCCGAAGACCCGGGTTCGATTCCCCACATGGGTACAATGCGTGAAGCCCATTTCTGGTGTCCCAGATATTGATATTGCTGGAATATTGCTAAAAGCGGCGTAAAACCATACTCACTCATCTAAAATGAAACGTCAACACCAGAGAGCCAGACTCGCTGAAACTCAGGGATGACACCAGGTGCTGGCGAAAAAGTCCTGACCGACTGTCAGCAACAATGTATCTACCTACAAGACCCGTTGGGTATATCGCAGACTATTAGGGCGCATGTGTGTCACAATCGGAGGTACAGTCCATGCTACTGGCTACCACACATGAGTGAGTTGGGTTTAACGCCGTTTTTAACAGTATTCCAGTTATATCACGGCATATCAGCTTAATACGTGAGGAAAGCCCGAAGTGATGCAGGTCTCAGATGTTTACCACTTCTTTGAAACCCACGAGCACGGATATGGTGCTCACAAACCTAGAAACATAATTGGGGCGAACCGGGATTCGAACCCACAATCATAGGTTTCTGGCGTGCCTAAGGGACGCAGCTCTGCACAGCGACTCGCGGCGCCTTAGACGACTGGGCAATTCGTGCCCCCCTACCACACATGAACACCTGGATACCATGAGCTTGATCCAGCAACCTTCATACGAGGGTAGGGGGCGGTCGGGTAGCCTATTGGTTAAAGCGTTCGCTCGTCACCCCGAAGACCCGGGTTCGAATCCCGACATGGGTACAATGTGTGAAGCCCAGTTCTGGTGTCCACCGCCGTGATATTGCTGGAATATTGCTAAAAGCGGCGTAAAACCAAACTCACTCACTCATACGAGGGTAGCAATCTCGTGCAATGCTTTGGAACACATTCCGTTACTTGTTCCTCTCGGCCAGCATGCCTAATCATTAAAAAGGTCAATAGAATGTACAATTTCTCTCAGATGTTGTCATATTAGTAGCACCAGTATCATCAAGGCATGTTGACAGGTTTGATCAATGAGGGAAACATTCAACCGAGAAATATTCTATTTGTGTTCAACGAGGTTCAATTCCGTTTCATATAAAGATAATCCCTCAGCGGAAGTGGTGTTGGATCGTTCGGTAGGCTAACCCTTTTTCAGGTGTGCCCAATGAAAGACAAGGACTGAATGCATGCAGTGCAATATTGACAGGTATATTTGAGTTGGGTATATATCCATGTGATGTAGGTGTGCTTTAGACCATCGACATTAAGTCAGTAACCCTCAATCTTTTGGAAACCCAAGCTTGAGGACAAACTATTTTTTCATGCATTTTCGGGAAAATCATAAGTCTTAGAATAATTTCGACTGATTAACTGTAACTTTTTGACATAAGCCATATGTATGTCAATCTCTTAAATTAGAATGAGAGATCTATGGCGTTACTGAATAGATGCCAGGATCCGTTGACCGTGGATTCACCTCCATTCTGAACCCTGGCTTTCAGAACTGTGTTCGTTGGTTTCTTCAAAACAAGGGGCGGAGGGTTACAAAAAGTGGTTAAAGCGTTCGCTCGTCACACCGAAGACCCGGGCTCGATTCCCCACGTAAGTACAATGTGTTAAGCCCATTTTGCTGTCCTCATCCGTGATATTGCTGGTGTATTGTCAACAGCGGCGTAAAATCATACTCACTCACTCACTCACTCTCCAAAACAAGTCACTGTCAATCTTTCTCCAACGCTGTCTTGACACATATGACATTCCGTTTTGAAAATGCATAAATGCAGCTGATGTAACATATGTAATGTAAGATACAACGGATATACACTGCACAATACAACAATATGAAATACAGGTAAAAGGAGAAACCTGACGACGGGTCGCGCTGACCCTGAGCTGACGGTCACGACGGACTACGTCCAGTGGTAACAGGGTCATGTCCTTCCCACATGTCAATTATTGCAGCTGTAATTATTCATGACAGGAATACAGACCTCACGTACAGCAATAAAAGTATTTTGACCCACACAGACATGTACTGGGCACCATTAACGACAAAACATAGTCGCTTCGTGACAGTGATCCACTGAACCGCTAAGACGTTGAATAACCGGAAGTGAAGGGTTACACTGAAACTGACACCCGAACACGAAACGAAATAAACAAGAAAACAACGTAGTGGCGGGGAGTATAAGTGTAGGTATATTAACCTACATCCCGGAGGGTTTCACGTCTTAGACCTGCATCGGGCTTTCCCCACACATTAAGGTAACACACCGTGACACAACTGAAATATTGTTCAAAGCGGCGCTAAATTCAACTTGCTCGCTTTTGGAGGAGTGGACGTACCCTACTGACAATATGCACGATATAATCTCTTTTTTATCCATACTTGATAGTGAGCGATATGCATACGTAAATAAACGCACCGAGAAGCTGACAGTTGTCCAGATACGGTTACTAATTATTGAAACCTGTGAAAATAAAGTGTATATTGGACTTCAAACGCTTTTATCTGAATCACAGGATCGTCTGGTGACTCGAATATTTACAGATCGCCGTCATATAGCTGGAATTATGGATAGTGCGGCGTTAAACAACAAACAAAAAGTAAAAAAGTTACACACAGCTCTAATTAGAAGCCATAGACCTGGATCTCCACCGTCAAAGTCTGATACACATCAACATAGTTATAAGGGTAGGTGGCGGTAGTGTAGTGGTTATTGACGCACTCGCTCGCTCGTCAGACCGATAGTCAGGGCTCTAGACCCCACAAGGGTGTGGACCGCATTGTTTGATTACCCCTCTTGCCATTATGCTTGGTTATTACTTAAAGTGGTGTAAGACTATACGCACATACCAACCGCTGTATCAATTGGGAATAAAATGTACACAATTTCTTACATTCTGATACTATCAATGCACGGCTTATGGATATAGAGGCCAAAACACGTGCATGTTGGAGAGAGTGAGTGAGTGGGTATGGTTTTACGCCGCTTTTAGCAATATTCCAGCAATATCACGGCGGAGGACACCAGAAATGAGCTTCACACATAGCGCCCATGTCGGGAATCGAACCCGGGCCTGACTAGCGAACGCTTTAACCACTTGGCTACCTGACCGCCCCGATGTGCATGTTGGAGGTAGGTATAGGGTAGGTATATAAAATTAACAACAATTACACTTTGATTCGAGGCATGATCAGGGCGGGATAATTCAAATATACAAAGAGATATTTAAGTGTGAATTTGTCGCTTGAGGTTGTCTCACAAGGCGGTTAAAGTGTTCAATCAGAAAAAATATGAGCTGCGCCCCTTGACTGGAAGAACACAACTGTTCGTATTTTAAGTGATATAAAATGTTTCGGCTTTGTGATACATTTCGTGTGTGCGCGACAGTTTTAAAGAATATGTCAGTCAATTGCCTTGTGGACAAGATGCTTGGGTTTTAAATAGGATAGAAATATTTCATTGATTTATACAATATGTACCTTTTCTGCGTGCAGAACGTCATATAACTGGAATATTACTGAGTGCGGTGGTAAAGTTACAAAAAACATTATTCAGGTTATATATGGATCAACATGGGAGAACTTTTTCTGTCATCTCAGCAGTAAATTTGATAAACAACAAACAAGCTCGTTAGCAATAATTGCCTTAGAGACACGGTGTAGCTACACACATACAGCTTACCGCCCTGTTGTCACCACACATTCTGAGCATTTTACAGTAGGTTAAAAACATCGATCATAATCGATCACACTGTACAGTTGAGTGAA